TGTTTCGTTTGAAGCAAAGAAAAGTGAAACTGTAATTGGATCCCCCCTGAAATAGTGTCTGGATCCCCTTCATATTCTCAATAAATGAACACTTGTATTTGTTGCCCAAAACGTTTTGTGCATTATATATTTTAAATAATCAAATGACTTCTCATTGTATGTGCTTGTGAACACATCTTTTGAAGTGTGTATAAGAATAATTATCATTGTCCCAGCTGTACACGGTCGGGGAGTGGTGCTCCTTCCCCTGCGAAATTTCCTGAGCCTAGGGTTGTAAGAGGAAATAGTGTATTGTTTACAACAAGAAAGATCTAGAAGTTTCTTATACCCCGTCACCCAAATAAAGAAAAACATAGTTTGCTAATGCACAGTCCTAATATTACAATTAAGCGCAGCTGTCACTGAAGCAAGTAGTAGTTTTTGTAGAAATAACAATAACAGCAAAAACTGAATTTAAGTCATTAAACGGTCGAAAAACCCCAAAGGCTTCAATTTCCCTAATTTTTCTTATGATTTTATTTTCCTGCCTTGGAAATGGCTGTTTGTCCCTGATCTCCCATGTATATATTGTTGCGGAGGACCTCGCGTTCTGCTGACAGATCAGAGGAGCAGTGCTGGGGTCAGTGTATGTGCGTAGATATATATATATTAATATATATCTATATATATATATATATATATATATATAATATATATATATTTATATATATATATATATATATATATATATATATATATATATTATTATATATATATGCCGAGCATCGGGACGTAAAGGGGAACCGGGCGGGAAGAAAGGAAAGAATAAACAAATATATAAGTAAATTGGAACCGTTTTTAAGAAAATATTTTTTTAACTGCATTAATTTCAAGCAGAAATTGCTCTTTTTTTTTCAAATATTGAACATGATTTTTTTGAACATTTTGTTTAAGGCCTACATCTCTAGCTTCTATATTGTAGTTTCGAAATTTTACCTTTTTGCAATTTTCAAAAATACAATCGCCGGTCACTCTTTTTCAGAATCACTTTAAAATATAGATTTTATTAAGAACAAATGCTGAAGGAAAGTGACTTTCTGTTTGTTGTGTATTCAGAAATATTTTGCCAGTAAAATGTCTTCTCTGCTATTTTATTCTTTTGTAAACATTTTGTCTCTTTTACTGCTTTGAATTAATGAGATTTTAAGATTACATTTTTTGAAATAAAATTTTCTTCTGTTTTCAGGATGGCAGCTTTGAAAGTGGAAATGTTGACATGGCTGAAGCCAAGACAAAGAACTGCATAATTTTGAAGTTATGCTACAACTCTCTTCTCTTCAAAGAATCTTTGAAATTAAAAATTCTATCTGTTCTAATCTTACTTCATATTCGCTTTAATATAATATAATTAAGATTATTATAATTGCTACATGTGTGTGTAATACTTGTCCATTTTCTTTTTGTTGTACAATGCATTATTGTACATCGGCCTCATCATTGTCATTATAATTATTATCATCATAATATATGTGTTTTTCTGTGATATATGTCAGATATCATTGTAAGAATAATAACAAAAAGAAACCTGTATCATACAAAATATCATCGATAAGTTTTAATGATTATAATTATTATAATTATTATTATTTTTATTATTATTATTATTATTGTATAATTGTGACCTAATGGTGTTGAACAAAACTCTCGTATAATATATTATAAATATACCTCGTGCATTGTATACGTTATATTTTCCAAAAGGTGGAGAAAAAGTGTGAAAGAACATTGAAAATACTCATGAACTTTTGAACACTAAATAAGAAAATGAAAGAAGACATGTACAGAACATCTGAAATTACACTAGCTTTTTTGTCAGGAAATGTTTCAAAAACATCTACTTGATATTTTCTATTCAATGTATTTGAATTTTCCTACTGTTAAAAAGGACTAGTTATAAACAAAGAGCTTAATCTATGTGAATTTCAGAGCATTAATATCAGAATAAAGAGTAGTGTAATTATTGGTGTATTTACTGAAATCATATTACTTATGAGTTTAGAATAAATTGAACAGAACAAAATTTTGGCAATAATAACAACAAATGGATGTTTTGTAATATTATGATGTAATATTAGAATTGTCCAAGAAGTAGATTTGTCAAGTAAAATCTAGTCCTCTTAGAATTTGCTTCTAGTAGATGATTTGAATGATGAAAGTTGTTTTGTTATTACATTTGGCTGTTAGGATATTGTGAATAATATGCCTGGCATAACACTTCCATTCCTTTAAGAATTCGGTGTTGCCAAGTTGCTACTGTGGATGACAACCTTGAGAAGTGTGAATAAACAGTTCTTCTTGTGTATTTATTTGTCTACTACAACAGCATTGTACAATCTGCATATGGTACAAGAAGTGATCGAATATTTTGAAAAGTACAAGAACTCAAGAAAATTGTTTTTGTTTGTTTTATGTTTCACTCTACTCTAAAATTTTCTCATATCTTTAATAATAATTATATTGATCTTTTTGTGCTTGTGTCATAATAATGCTAATTAGGAACTTTTGAAAACTCCTTTTTTGTCAATATCATGTCAAGTTTCTAAGCATTTCAATATATATTTCCAAGTAGAAAGTTGAATGTAAATATTTTAAAAATCTGGGCATAATTCAATAATAAAAATCTTCAAATGTGTTATTAATTCTTGCCCATTGCTAATTTAAAACCTTAATAAAATATGTATGAAATGTTTGTAATAAAAAGAATTATCCTCGAGCAAACCTGTCTTTATTAATAATTGCCATGGATCATATTATAAACTACAGAAATTTCCTGAAAAATATGTCATTTCATGAAAAATTGCAGTTATTGAAGAACAAGGTGTCTCTGGCAAATAAAATTTCATTGTAGGACATCAAAGAAAGTGATTAAAATGTTAGTACCTGCACAGAATTTTTGTTTAGCCACACAATTTCTTTATAGATTTATTGAAGAAAACAATGTGCATGCTTTAAATTTAAAAAAGTGAATTTATGCAGAAGCTATTCGTGAATTCAATAATAAAGTTTAATAATAAAATTAGAAAAAATGGCAGGGATGGAGAATCCTTGGAGACAATTATGGCAGCACTGGTGGTTAGAGAAATTAATTCTTATTGGACTTCTTCATTACATGAAAATTCTGGCTCGTAAGGGTGGTCCTGTCAGTTCAGGAGCTTCTTCCCAATATTCCTTTACCTCAAATTTTTTACTCTTTGACTAATAAAGGTCAGCAAAACATACCATGAGAGCACCATGTTATTATTTCATTTTGAAAGTTAAATAGCAAATAAATATCATGATTACATTTCACTGAAAGTGTCAGCAGTGAAAAATAATGTTAGGAACAATCTACTGGATGTAGATTCTTGAAAATATTGGGGAGGGTGTTCCCCCATGCCCCAGCCAGAGATGCCTGTGTTCTTTACAAACCATAATAATGTCATCCCTTAGGGTTTTGTTTGCATTTGTCTACCAACAGAAACTTAATTACAGAAGGGCCAAGGAAAAGGCCTACCTTGGGAGACACCAATTGAAACTTTTAAGTTAAATTTGTATAATTTGATAGTTCAATTTAAAACTACATGGAAAGTGTACAACTCTTCTATATGGAATAAGTTTTTACTAGCTGAACGTGTCGCTGACTTTCATTTGTTTTAAAAACATTTTCAAATGTTAAAAATTTTTACTATACAAGTTTGAAATAAAAATAAACTTTAAACACAGTTTATACAGTTTCTGCTTCTTTTATCCTTAGGTGTAGTTCTTAAAAAATACTCTATTGAAAATTAGTGTAAATTATAAAAAAATATATAAGTGTCAGTTCATGAGCTTTTTTGGGGGGATGTTCTTTTGGGCTACAACCCATCCCAGAATACAGTGTTTGAGAAACTAATCTGAGGGCACCCAGAAGAGTTGTTCTGAAGAGTGCATTCTTACACATCTGCTGACTTAATGTTTTAAAATTTGAACATGCAAACTTCTGTTCTAGGACATACAGTACTATTCTTACTGATTTATATTAGAATATAATTTACATTATGAAACTATCCTACAAAAGGAGATAATCTCATTAGCACTATTGTATATGTTACTCAAAACAAGATCATCTAATAAAACGATAATTATCCTATGGGGTGGCAAAACACAGATGATTAACGTTTTCCTTCTGAGTGATTCAAGCCCTGCAAAAACTCATCACTGAGTGACATTCTTGTATCAAACAATGATGCATGACACATCACGTGATCGCATCATCAAATAATGTCTGACACATTACTCTGTTATACTTTTTTTAAATTTAGTATTATACACTTTTTTAAGAACTATCCAGAACCCTTGAATGTTGAGGTCCCTGGGCCCAGGCCCTTTGGGCCCGTGCGTTAACACAGGTTGGTAGACATGAAGTGGTCTGTGAGTGACAGACAGACACAGGTTTCTTGATTACAGTGTAAGGATTATCAAGATTACTCTTAAACTTCATAGGTTCTTAGTAGACAATATCCTTTACTCCTTTTCACTAAAACGACATTTTTAAATTCAGAAGTTTATGATCAAATAGATGCTTATAAATCATAATTAAAATACTGATAATTTCAATTGATTTTTTTTTTTTTGAAACTTTATAAAAAGAAAATGTAGCTTAGCACTAGAGCACACTGGGATTCTTGGTGCAAATTTTAAGAAATTTCTGAATGTCCTGTCAATTTGTTTTGTAAATGTCTTGGCTACTTGCCCATACTTGATTCATTTCACTGAAAGCCTTGCTGCAACAAACCGCGATATCGTTTCACATTGCATTGTATTCATTTTAACTTAGTAACCAATTTAAATTTCCATTTATTGAGGATTAACATCGAATTGAAAGAATTTGAAATTTCCCTCTTTAAAATTGATTTCACAATATGCGCGTTTCCTAACATCGTTCAAATGTTGGCATTCGTTATCAAGGAATTTCTTCTGTTGGTAATTGACATATGTATCGACAAAACACTACTTTTGCGTTCGATAATCGAAAGTTTCGATTTCAAGATGGTGTAAGTGGGTGAGCACGTCACGTACCTGCTTGAATAGTTTGGTTACTAGTTTTAAATTAGTTGATGATTGTATTTTCATGACACATACGTCATAGTTAGATGTCAATGTCTCGTTTATCATCATGGCGTAGTGGAGTGACTTTTCTATGTCTATAATGAAATGTACTACTGTGACCTAATGAATAAATCTGAATATTTTACTATTAACATCTAATGACATAAAATTTTCGGGCTTTAGTGCCCCTGCCATAGGAAATGAATGGCAATGAGGAAACAGAAGTTAATGAACTATGTATTATGGACTGCAAACCTTTATTGACATGTAAGTGACTGCAGTTGTGTGTCTTCTTGCTTGCCCTATTTTCGCGAGTTCTTAAATTTCAATTCCGGGAAATTACAGATGCCGGTGATGGAGCTTTATTTTCTAGTCTTCAGTCTTTACTGGTTCAGTCCTTACCCCAAGAACCTGCTGAGTGGCGAAGGTCATACGGTAGACCTGTAAAGTCTGTTTATGTAGGAGCGTCATTTGTACCTTTTAGTAAAGAAACACTACCTAAAGAAGGACAGTGGCAACTAATTCAACAACCTATCTTCCATATTTATTGGACTGAGTGCTCAGTAAGTTTATTTTGTGTACAGCTTGGTTTTGTTTGTAGGTTATGTTTATTGTGATGTGTTTTGTTGTGTTTGTGTCACAACAGGATGTAGACGTTTACAAGAGTACTGTTAGAGATGACATAGAAAATTGGTTGAAGACCCTTAATCAGCATAATGTACATGATTGGATGATAGTGCTAGTAGAAACTTATGATATAAAGAAAAGTAACAAATTATTACCTCGAACTACAGTGTTAGATAAAATAAGAAGTGACTTTGCTTCAAAGCATGGTGACAGGTGAGATATTGCACTTTGATAAATTGGTTTATCATTCTCAATATGTTCATGTACGTAGTGCTGACCCACAATTTCATATTTCAGGTGTCTGTCTGTGATAAATCCTATTCGTTCAGAGTCAAAGTCAGCAGATTCTTGGCGAGGTTTGTTGTCTCGAGTACGTTTATTACTTCTTAGTGCTTATAATAGAACACTAATACGTTTTGAAGAAGTGATAAGAGATCAAAGAGAACGCCGTAATGAACAAGGATGGAGTTTCTCTCAATATTTCCTGTTACAAGTATGTATTCCGGTTAGGGCTCAAAATGAATAAAATTTAATTCATTATTATTGTAATAATAATCATAATTGTACTACATTATAGGAAGAAATGGCATTTGTTCTGGAAATGCTTGGTATTTATGATGAAGCCTTAGTTCAGTATGATGAATTGGATGCTCTTTTCACACAGTTTGTGCTCAATACCAATGTAGGAGGTAATAGATATTTTGTTTGTTATTTCATTTAATTAATAGAAATATTGATGTGGCCATTGAAAGCATTTGTGACATTTGTGAATTTTTTTTGGTAACCAATTTCTGAAAGCTCCTTTTATTTTAATGTCTAGAAACACCAGTGTGGTTAAGTAATTTTCAAGGCCCATTAGAAAGCTGGTCTGGAATTGTACTTGCTCAGACTGTCAACCAAACTCAGCGAATGCTGTTACGAGCTGATCGAACTTCTCTTTTAGAGTTTCGTTCCTACTTGTTTTCCAGGCAGTGTGCGATGTTGCTGCTTACTTTTAAGCCATGGGAGGTTAGTTTAATTTGTTCCATTGTGAATGTGAGCACGTTTTCACCACCACTTATTTAACCAACTACAGAAAATGTTTTTTAGATTGCTCAGAGATCACTTCCATTTCTGCATAATTGTGTACAAGAGTTGGATATTTTGGAAATATCATCTCCTCCTGGGGCAGTAGCCTGTTGGGTATTTCTTTGCTGCCTTGAGGTTTTACATACTTGTGAACGTTTCAATGACAGTGGGCAGGTTGAAGCATATTCTTTATACACTGCTAGCCTTTGGGCCTACGCAAGAGATAAGGTTAGTGAAGTGGTATTATATATTATAATACCAGACTATATTTTGAGAATAATCACATAATTTGGAGTTTGCTGTGTTAAGTGCAGTGTGATTCGTTTCATCCTCCTAAACTCATGCAAGGGCTGCAGGCAGATTCCATTCTGCAGTTTTTCTACTCCCTATAGTTAGACATTTAAACTTGCTATTTTGTCATTGTGTATATAGATAGTTAATTTTATTTCTTGAAAAATGCAGAATAGTATAATGTAACACTGCAGGATATGGAGACTTGGCTAGCTGTCTCAAGTAATAGAAATGTTTAAAAAAAAGTAGCTCATAACTGGATCTTTTATTAGCAACATATATAAAAAATTTTTTTGTCAATACTATGTCACCACTCAGAAGATGAAGTTTATGTAGGTAAAATGAATCACCTGTATTTTCCACATACGTTAAAGAAGGAAACATGTGACTTGCAATAATACTGACCTAAATTATTTGTTTTGTTTGTTTAACTTAAGGAATCTGAAATGCTTGCATTTTCAAACATTTATTGTAAAGAATATTTGTATATGTTTTGTCCCTTTTTCATGAATTTTGAGATTAATTCAAAGCAAATTATTAAGGAAAATTAATGTTGTTAAATCAATATTGAAATATCATAACACTCATTTTTGTTGGGAGAGGAACTTACTTGACTCTACTTGTTCAAAATGATGCAGTAATATAAAGTGCTCCCCTTCATTTGTCTTCATTACATTTTTCCAAGCATGCAGTCATCTTTTCATGTTAGATTTTTTGTGTCTTTGAGCTCTTTAATTGAGTTGAAAAACAAGAATTAATGGATTTAACTCTGTTTTAAAGCTCCGTGATTTAGGGAATCTTTGTGGCCTGATGCCAGGTCATGAACCAACATCTGAACAGTTGCATACTGTGGTTGGACTGTCAGCTGGCATGGGAGATTCTCCACCAAATGGCACGCAACCATCTCCAACAGACAAGCTGCGAGAAGCCCTCTCCTCCAAAGAAGCCTTTCGCAAGCATTATCTGGTAAGTGCTTACCACTGATGAATGGCATTTACTTTCTCGGTAGATTACAGATCTAAGAATACAGTAATTTAGATATACTAGAGCTGTTTTTTATTTCATATATGAACGCGGATTATCAAATAATTATTGATTTTCAAATAATTTACTTATTATTTAGGAATTAGCAGAATTGGCTATGGGTACTTACAAGCATATTGGCAGAATTCGATCTGCACGCCTCATTGGGCAGGATCTTGCTGCATTTTACCTTAGCCTTGGAGAGCCTCAGAAGGCAGTGGTGTTCCTCTCAGATGCCTTGAGCACCTGCGAAGAGGAAGGTTGGAAGAAGCTTGTTGCCAGTACCCGCCTGAGTCTCGCAACTTGTTATCAGACAATGCAGGACACAGAAAGGTAAGTCTTTTTTGAAACACTGAAATTTGATCTCTCTTCCAACATATTCAATAATTCCAAAATATATGAAATTATTTCTAGGTATGTAAAAACATGTGCTGTAATATCCTGCTCAGCAGAATTGGAAATGGATATTCGTTTGAAGTATTTCGAAGAAATGATGAATTTCTTGGACAATGTCAAAGGTAAGCAGTTTTTATGGTAATATTAAAAATATTAAATTTAACTTGAAGTAAAACTGTTAATTGAAAATAAACAAGGCATTAAACTAAATTTGTAAACAAAACCATTAAAAAAATTGAAATAGTTTGAACCAAAGCTGAAAACATATATTTAATTAGTCAGAAACAAATGAAATGGTTCTTGTTTCAGTTTTAAAAGACCTCTTCATAATTTTGAGTAATTCGTATTGCTGGATTCTTATTTCAGGTAGTGATTTAATGTAAACAACAGAAATATTTAGTTTTTCAGGAAACGTTTCGTTATTGTATCTTATTTTAAATTGTTGAGGTATTTGCCTCGGACAAAAGAGGAATCCTGAAAAACATCAATATATTGAAGTTGTGTAGCATTCTCATTAATTTGAAAATTTTTTAAATAAAAATGTAAGAAAACTAGGGAATCATTTTAAAATTAAAACCGCTAGTGAAATGTTTTATTATATTATAATTTTCAGAGAAGAATATTTCATTTACCAAACCATTCTCTGAAAGATATAACTAATGTTTTTACATGGATAATAACAAAGATGACACAAGTTTTATTTTATTATTATTACTATTGGACCTGTTTTTTCTTATCTAGCGGGCACTTTGTGGGTGTCATCCCTTAACGACTGCTTCCAACTGAAAAGTGTTGAAGTGTGTGTGGAGGATGGAGTACTAATTAAAAACTCAACGATACGTGTAAGACTGGAAGTGGAAAGTCTCTTCCCTCGAACAGTAAATTGCCGAAGAGCTGCTCTTTCATTCAGTGAGCACAAAGATACTCCGCGATTAGTGGCAGGGTCAACTGCAAAAAGCGGAGACCCACCATCTAGACAAGCAGGTGGTCCAAGAAGGAGTGCGCAGAATTTGACTGTACCTCAACAGGTCGTAGACAATGGATCTTGTGATATTCCTCTGCACAGGTTTGTTGAAAAATAAATTAAGTTGCTGCAAAACTGCTACATCCAACCTTAAGAAAATTTCTTGACACGTTCTTGAACAAATAATTATACCTAATTGTGACATTGGGCTGCATTTCATAATATAATTTCATAATAGATTTTATTTGTTTTAGAAATATAAATATTTGCAGAGTAAACTATGAACTCCTTTATCTGAAACAATTTTGAGAAGGGTAGGTAACGATCATTACAAGAATTTAATTTTTTTAGATATATCAGGTGTATGAAAATTTCCGACTGTGGTGCAAACTTAAAAACAAATTTAAATAAGTGGAAGGCTTCCTTAATCCTTGTGTGCTTTTTCAGCTAATAGTATTTTGAGCTCCTCCTGTAAACATTTCCTCAATTTACAATATGCTTCTCACTGAATATTTTAATGACGATGCATTCATAAGCAATAATTTACTAATTTCTTAATTTTTCAGTAGTATATGGCTCTTCATTTATTAATCATACATTTTAAGAACTGACAAAATTTTAGATGATTTTATTTGCCCCTCATATTTTATCCATTAGTTATTTTTATTCATTAATTTATAACATTTGTGGAACAACCTAACTAATGTATATCGAATGAAAATCAATTGCAAATTAATTTTAGTGGGGTAGCTTGTAATCAAAGTGGTGGTGGCATCTCCCATGGACTGTCATTACTCACACATTTCTTTTTTATTTAAAAAAAAATACCTTGTGCCCTGAATTAGTAATAATTATTATCATATATTTCAACTGATAAGACAATAGATGGACTACAAAG